CTGAATTAAAGTCTCATCATACCCATTTGCATTCTTGTTGATTTAGTTGTTATTTGTTTAATTTCCGCAACAGTAGACTAATAGAAGAAAATCACTCTTGATTATCTTGGACAATTAATTAATTTTAGTTTGCTTAGTTAACGATCAATCTAAGTCTCTGTGGGTTCGACATTCGACTTTCGAGTCACTTTATGTGACGACCTGGCCAGTTGTCTCATGAGTTACCACTCTGTTTCCCCCGTTTCTACTTCTTATTACTTTGTCTATCGGTTCTATATGTGATCGGGTTGGTTGGCTCGGGTTCGGAAAAGATTTGGTAAGGTTGGAGACACTTAGTATCTTTTGAGGAAGTTTAAGTTGGAAAAGTCAACTGGATGTTGACTTATGTGTTATAGGGATCGGATGTGAGTTCTAATGATTCGTATAGCTTCGGGAGGTGATTTGGGACTTAAGAGCATGATCGGAATGTGTTTTGGAGGTTCGAAGCAGATTTAGGCTTGAATTGGCGAAATTGGATTTTTGGCATTTTCCGGTTGATCGGTGAGATTTTGATATAAGGGTCGGAATGGAATTATGAGAGTTGTAGTAGTTCCGTTGTGTCATTTGGGAGGTGTGTGCAAAATTTCAGGTCATTCGGATGTGGTTTGATTGAGTTTTTTTATCAAAAGCGTAATTTAAAAGATTTTGGAAACTTAGGCTTGAATCCGCTGAGTTTTGCTTGATTCGATGTTGTTTGAGGTGTTTTGAAGATTAGTATAAGTTTGAATAAGGTTATGGGATATGTTTGTTCTTTTTGTTGAGGTCCTGGTGGCCTCGGGGTGATTTCGGATAGTTGACGGAGAGTTTGAAATTTTGATGAAGCTGCAGATTTTCTGCTTTTGGTATTTCCGCACCTGCGGATTGGGGACTGCAGGTGCGATGCCGCAAATGTGAGGAGGAAGGCTGCATAAGCGGAAGAAGGTGAGGGAGGCTGTAGCCGCAGAAGCGGTTGGTGAACCGCACCTGCGATAGCGCAGGTGCGATTTGTGCATCGCAGAAACGGAAGTGGGTATTTAAGTGAAAAACCGCAGAAGCGTCTCTTGGACTGAAATAGCGGTACCGCAGATGCGAAAATGCCTGGGTCAGAATGTATATATTTCTTCCTTCGCGAATTTCAGAGGGTTTCACCATTTTTGAACGCGAATTCTGGAATTTTGGGCGATTTTGAAGAGAGAATTCAAGGAGACTTCATTGAGGTAAGGATTTTGGATCTAAAACTCGTTCCTCATGTATTATTTCACGGATTAGAGCTATAATTAATGGAATTTAAGGGTTAAAATTGGGGAAACTAGGGCTTGGTATTGGAGACCTATCCTTGAGGATTTGAGGGATCTATTGTGGTCGGATTTTGGTACTTTTGATATGTACGAACTCGTGGAGAGATAAGGAATCTAGTGATGTGAATTTTATCGAATTCTGAGATGTGGGGATTAGTACGGTTCACTTGGATGATGATTTGACCTATGATGTGGAGCCATTAGCTATTTTGGGTCGTCATGTTCGAAAGTTGAGGTCAAAGGATATAACTTCAGTGAAATGGCAGTGGAGAGGTCAGCCCGTGGAGGAGGCTAGCTGGGAGGTCGAGCAGGAGATGCAGAGCAGATATCCTCACCTGTTTGAGGCTTCAGGTATGTTTCTTGACTCGTTCAAGGATGAACGTTTGTTTTAGTTGAGGAGGATGTGACGACCCGGCCAGATGTCTCCTGAGTTACCGCTCTGTTTCCCCAATTTCTTCTTCTTATTTCTTTGTCTATTGGTTCTATATGTGATCGGGTTGGTTGGCTTGGGTTCGGAAAGGATTTGGTAAGGTTGGAGATACTTAGTCTTTTTTGAGGAAGTTTAAGTTGGAAAAGTCAACCGGATGTTGACTTATGTGTTAGAGGGCTTGGTTGTGAGTTTCAATGATTTGGATAGCTTCGGGAGGTGATTTGGGACTTAGGAGCGTGATCGGAATATGTTTTGGAGGTTCGGAGTAGATTTAGGCTTGAATTGGCGAAATTGGATTTTTGGCATTTTCCGGTTGATTGGTGAGATTTTGATATAGGGGTCAGAATAGAATTTCAAGAGTTGCAGTAGTTCCCTAGTGTCATTTGAGAGGTGTGTGCAAAATTTCAGGTCATTCGAACGTGGTTTGGTTGAGTTTTTTTTATCAAAAGCGTAATTTAGAAGCTTTTGGAAACTTACGCTTGAATCCGATCAGTTTTGGTTGATTCGATGTTGTTTGAGGTGTTTTGAAGATTGGTATAAGTTTGAATAAGGTTATGGGATATGTTTGTGCTTTTGGTTGAGGTCCCGGGTGCCTCGGGGTGATTTCGGATGGTTGATAGAGAGTTTGGAATTTTGATGAAGCTGCAGATTTTCTGCTTCTGGTATTTCCGCACCTGGGGATTGGGGACCGCAGGTGCGTTGCCGCAGATGCGAGGAGGAAGGCCGCAGAAGCGGTTGGTGAACCGCACCTACGATAGCGCAGGTGCGGCTTGTGCATCGTAGAAGCAGAAGTGGGCGTTTAATTGAAAAACCGCAGAAGCGGCTCTTGGACCGCAAAAGCGGTACCACAGATGCAGTGGATTGACCGCAGATGCGAAAATGCCTGGGTCAGAATGTATAAATTTCTTCCTTTGAGAATTTCAGAGGGTTTCACCATTTTTAAACGTGAATTCTGGAGTTTTGGGTGATTTTGAAGAGAGAACTCAAGGAGACTTCATTGAGGAAAGGATTTTGGACCTAAAACTCATTCCTCATGTATTATTTCACGGATTAGAGCTATAATTAATGAAATTTAAGGGTTAAAATTAGGGAATTAGGGTTTGGTATTGAAGACCTAGACTTAAGGATTTAAGGGACCTATTGTGGTCAGATTTTGGTACTTTTGAGATGTACGAACTCGTGGGGAGATAAGGAATCCATTGATGTGAAATTTATCGAATTCCGAGACATGGGCCCGGGGGTCGGGTTTTGGTAATTTCGGGATTTATGTTGTAAATTGATTACTTTCGCTTGGGCTTCGTTCCTTTAGCATATTTTGACGCCGTGATTCTGATTTTGGATAGATTCGACGCGAGTGATGGCCGATTCGAGGGGCAAAGGCGTCGGGGCTAGAGTTTGGACCGGATTGAGGTGAGTAATGATTGTAAATGATATCCTGAGGGTATGAAACCCCGGATTGCACATCGTTCTGCTATATTGAGGTGACGCACACGCTTGATGACGAGCGTGGGGTCGTGCACTGTTGGGGATTGTGATTTAGCCTGTCCTAAATGACTATTTTACCGCGTATTTGACTGAAATCTATTTGTGTACATCATGTTTTGGGCTGAATGCCATATTTGGGCCTCATGCCAACTATTTGAACCCTTAGGAGATTTTTATTGATATTTCCTTACTGTTTTGACTTTATATTTGAACTCAGTCATGCTATATTCCATTATTTTCATAACTCATCCATGTTTACTCTGTTTTAACACTTAAATGATCTTTTAAATGACATTTTGGGCTGAGAATCATGTTTTACTATTGCCCGAGTGGCTTGTGAGGATTTTAACTGAGTAAGGCCGAGGGCCTATGTTGTAAGGAAACATTTGGTTATGATTATGAGGCCGAGGGCCTGAGATATGTATGTCACGAGGTGGCTTGTTAATATGAGGACGAGAGCCTAGTGATGATGCCACAAGATGGCTTGATATTGCGCTTGGGCCGTAAGGGGCCCCTCTAAGAGTCTGCACACCCCCAGTGAGCGCGGGTACCCATTGTGATGTGAGATATAGCCCGAGGGGCTGGTATTGTTCTGAGATATTGCCCGAGGGGTGGATTTGTTGATTTTGTGCCCGAGGGGTGAACCTTTATGTGCTTTTCTTTCTTATTTGTCTGTCATTTACCTGTTTAATTGTTGAAAAGGTATTTCCTAAAGTTTAAACTGAACTTAAATGATTTTACATATCTTTACTGATTCACTGTTTTTACTGGTTTTACTACTTCATTATAGCTTGTAATGTGCCTTACGTGTTTTCATATCTCTCAGTCATTTATTTATGATTATTACTCACTGAGTTGGAGTACTCGCTTTACTCCCTGCACTCTGTGTGCAGATAAAGGCGCATCTGGTCCCACTACCGAGTGTTGATCTTTCCAACTTAGGCAGATCCGAAGATTCTCTAGGTAGCTGCCGACATTTGCAGCCCAGAGCTTCTTCCCTTATCTTATTTCTCTTTGTTTTAGATTTGTATTGAACTCTGTAGACTTTCTTGTCTTATCCTCGATTTTTAGATGCTCATGACTAGTGACACCTCGGTATCGGGTTGTGTTGGGTTGTATTCCGTGAATTGTTTTGTATTGTTACTGTTTACTTTTGGATTTATATCATGTTTAAGACTAAATGCTTATTGTTTAATTGCTTAAAACTGGATTGGAAATGTGTTGGTTGGCCTTGTCTTCACGAGAGGTGTCATCGCGACCGAGTCCGGGTTTGGGGTCGTGACACTTTATTACTTGACGACCACGTATACTTGCATGTGTGTTTGGTCCCAACAGTTAAACTTGCCTTCCTGTATATTTGTAGTTACTTTTGTCACTCCAGCTAGCTAGAGTATAATACTTGCATCAAACATGAGCTCATTTGAGCTTTCTTAGCCGTACTTGTAAATAGTGCCTTAAGTTATAAGTTTTAATCTCTATTCTTTTAGTTTAACTCTTTACTTGTGTAAGTGGTAGTACTATATGAGCAACTCTTAGTGTATAGTGGTTGTAGTGAGTGATAGTAGAGTAAGATCATGTCCTCGGACAGGCCGGTGGCAGGAGGCAAGGGCAGGAGTAGTCTCTAGGTTGAGAGTGGGGTCTTCGAATATAGGGACCTTGACGAAGAAGTCTATAGAGTTAGCGAAGATACTCCAGAAGAGAAAGATCAACATAGCTTGTGAGAGACTAGATAGGCAGGAACTAGGTCTCAGGATGTAGACGGGTATAAGATGTGGTACTCACGAGGGGTAAGAGGCAAGAACGGGATAAACATCCTAGTTGATAGGAAACTAAAAAAGCTAGTTGTAGATGTTAGGAGGGTGAATAACAGGTTGGTGGCTATTAAGATAGTTACGGGAGGGTCTACTTTAAATATAATTAGTGCTTAAATGCCTCAAGTGGGATTGGACGAGGATATTAAAAGATGTTTCTGGCTGAATTTAAATCAGCTGGTGCATGGCATTCCACACACCGAGAATTTAATCATATGAGGGGATTTTAATGGCTACATCAAGACTACTTCTAGGGGCTATGGCGGTGTGCATGGCAGCTTCTGTTTTGGTGATAGAAACGGAGGAGGAACTTCGATATTGGAGTTTGCTAAAGCTTTTGATTTGGTGATTGTTGACTCGTGTTTTCCAAAGAAGAAGAAGGAGTACTTGGTCACCCTTCAGAGCAAGGCGGTCAAGACCCAGATTGATTATCTACTCCTCATGAAGTGTGATAAAGGTCTTTATCTGAGTGAGAATATCATGACCCATCATAGGCTATTGGTTATGGATAGAGATCACGAGAAATAGGAGGAGGAAGAGGAAGAGGAAGAAGAGGGTCGTATTGTACGGTCAACCTAGGATCAGGTGAGAGCCTTGACTAAGGACAAAACTTAGGAGTCGGGAGAGAAGTTGTTGGCTATGGGGGCCAGGAGGAACAATGGGGATGGGAGTATTTTGTGGACCATGACATCGAATTGTATTAGAGTAGTCACAAGAGAGGTATTAGGGGTCTCGACAAGTTACTCTAGGGGCCACAAAGGGGACTGGCGATAGAGTGAAAAGGTCCAAGGACGTTTTTTGATAAAGTGAAAAAGTGGAAGCCAAAAGAATGGTGTATTTAAAGCCAGTGAAAAGTGTAGACGAGGAGGAGAAGAAGACGAATAGGGAGTGGTACAGGAAGGCTAAGAAGGAGGCGAAGTTAGCAGCTACCGCGGAAAAGACTGCAACGTTTGAACGTTTGTATGAGGAACTTAGGATCAAAGGTAGGGACAAGAAGTTGTACAAGCTAGCCAAGATTAGAGAAAACAAGGACTGTGACTTGGATCAAATGAAGTGCATCAAAGATGAGGAAGATAAAGTTTTGCTGGAAGAGGCACGAATTAGGCGAAGATGCCAGACATGCTTTCATAAACTCTTGAATGAAGAGGGGGATATGAATATTGTGTTGGGTGGTTTGGATCACTCCGAGAGTCTCAGAATTTTGGGTGTTGTAGGCGCATAAGAGTAGAGAAAACTAAGTGTGCTATGCGTAAGATGAGTATGGGTAAAGCGAACGAGCCAGATGAAATAATCCCTGTGAAATTCTAGAAGAATGCAGGTAGAACAGATTTGGAGTGGCTCACTTAGTTGTTTAACATTATTTTTAGGACGAAAAAAATGCCCAAATAATGGAGGTGGAGTACGATGATTCCATTATACAAGAATAAGAGAGATATCCAAAATTGCAACAACTATAGGAGTATCAGGCTGCTAAACCATACTATGAAAACTTGGGAGAGGGTGATGGGTGGTTTTGCTAGAATAGGAAATAATGAGATTACTGTTTTAGTAAATGATGCAGAGAAGGGTAGTGACATTGATCCACAAGAAGCTCAGCAAACTCTTGAACTAGCGGAAGCTAATGTGAAAAAGGATGAAGGAAGGAGACAAAAAGTTGAGGCAAATCTAACTCTCCGACGAGCTAGAACACGAGTGGAGGCTATCAATCCGATTTCATAACTACTTGGTACGTTCGAATAATAAAAAGAAGTTCTCTTTCTAATCCTATTTAGATTCTGTCGGGTGAATACAATCAAAAAGAATCCAATTCTGATACAAAAGTTTATATTCAAAAATGAAATAGAAAAGATACAAAATCAAAAAAATCAATATCACTAAGGGTGGGTCGTAAACCTTATTAGATACCATTGACTCAGATATCTAATATGTTTTACCTAATATTGGATTTGAACCAATGACTCCATCCGTATGAAAGCAGTACTCTAACCGCAGAGTTAAGTAGGTCATTTATCATCCCAAAGAGAACCAAATAAAACCCATCGTAAAGGTGTGTCTATTTTCGATAACCAATTCGGATTCATGCCGAGTCGTTTGACAACGGAAGACATTCACCTTGTTAGGAGATTGACGAAGCGGTATAGGGAGATGAAGAGGGTCTTGTATATGGTGTTTATTGATTTGGCAAAAGCATATGACAAAGTCCCAAGACAGGCTCTATGGAGATGTTTGGAGGCTAGATGTGTGCATGTATTCCACATTAGGGCGATTAAGGACATGTATGATGGAGCTAAGATCCGAGAAAGGTTAGTGGGAGGAGACTCAGAATTCTTTCCGATTGTGATGGGGTTGCACTAGGTAGGGGTGTCAACGGATATTTAAAAATCTACTAAATCTACATAATCATATCGTACCAACCAATTTTTAGGTCTCTTTTAATAAAACTGTAGGTTTTTATATAAATCTATAACCATGCCGACAATTAGGTAGGTTTTTTATTTTATGAAAATAAACTGAAAACGTACCGAACCGCATCGAATAAATACACATGTGAAAAATATATATATTTTTTGAGTTTACATTAATTTTTTTATTGAACTTTGGAATTATGAAAACGGTTACAAGCCAAAAGATAATCAAATTTAAAATCCTAATTATCAAACGTATTATGCTAGTCCTATTGAAACTAATTATTTCCAGCATATTCACTATCAAGATACAAGGAATTCTAGCGATTATGAGTAACAAACTACAATATGTTGAATATGTTTCCTTTCGTATGATTTAGATTTATCTTTTTGAATATTTAATCTTCTATAGCATTTATTCTTGAGTCGCAACTTGGTTAATATCTTTCCACTCATATGATTTATATTTTCTTTGCATTTACTTAGTTTCTTTTACGCTAATGTAGAATAGTTGATAGATATATACTCTAACCATCTTTCATGTTTTCTTAATTCATCACCCTTTAAACAATAAAAATATCTAGAGAGTTTTGTTAAGTCATATAAAAGTACGTATTTTATCACATTATACTTCAACTAGTGAATTTTACATGACATTTAAAAAAATACCGAAAATTAACCGATACCGAAGAGAAACCGACATGATTGAGACGGTTTCGAGAAGTTTAATTTTGGTAATATATAAGAGAATAATCGAAAAATTGGTATGGTATAAATTTTATAAAATAACGAGCTAAACCGAACCATTGACACCCCTAGCACCAAGGGTCAACCATTAGCCCATTTTTATTTTCCTTGACGATAGATGCACTGACGAGACACATTCAAAGGGATGTGTCATGGTGTATGTTATTTGCAGATGACATAGTTCTTATTGACAAGACGCGGGGTGTTGTTAATGAGAGGTTGGAGGTTTGGAGACCATACCCTAGATTTTAAAGGTTTCAAGTTAAGCATGACCAAGACAGAATATTTGGGGTCCAAGTTTAGCAGCACCCAGGTAGCGGAATGTGAGGCTTGATCCACAAGTCATCCCCAAAAGAGAAAGTTCAAGTGCCTTAGGTTAGTAGTACAAGAAAGGGGTAGTTGATGAGGAAGCCACACATCGTATCAGAGCAGGGTGGATGAAATTGAGGCTTGCATCTGGTGTCCCGTGTATTAAGAATGTACAACTAAAACTTAAAGGTAAGTTCTACAAAGTGGTGGTCAGATCTACTATGTTGTATGGGGCAAAGTGTTGGCCAATCAAGAACTTTCATGTCCAGAAGATGAAAGTAGCTGAAATGATGATGTTGAGATTGATGTGCGGGCATACCACGTAAGATAATATCAGGAATGAGATATCCGAGTAAAGGTAGGAGTGACCCCCGTGGAGTCTAGGATGCAGGAAGCGGGGCTTAGATGGTTCAGACATGTAAAGAAGAGAAGCACAAATGCTCGGTGTGAGGGGTTGACCTTGTTGGGTATGAGGAGAGGTAGAGGTAAGCCAAAGAAGTATTGGGAGAGGTAATAGGAAATGGCACAACTAAGCTATCGAGGACATGACCCTTGACAGAAGGGTTTGGAGGTCGAGAATTAGTATAAGTATAATAGGTAGTCGATCGTTTTACTTTTTCTCTCTTGTACTCGTACTCTTAAGTGTTACTATGGCATCTTTTTATTGTTAGATTGCTATCACTACCTATTGTTTGATTGTTATCTTTCGCTTCACTCTTCTTAATATCTTCTTGTTGTTATTGCTTATTGACACTGCTTCTTTTTATTTTTTCTTTAGCCGAGGGTCTAACAGAAATAGCCTCTCTGCCCTCCCAATGTAGGGGTAAGCTCTGCGTACACCTTATTCTCCCCCGACCGACTTGTGAAAATTCACTGGGTTTATTATTGTTGTATAGAACAAAAAAAAATCTTAAGCAACATGCAGATATAGCTTTTCATTTTTTTAAGTACACTAACAAAAAATAGTTTATTTAAACCAAGATCGCGCTATTTTTGTCTGTTTGCCTCAAAAATCAAACTTAGTTTCAAGATTAAGATTGTTTTCTAACAAAATAGTTTTTTTTTTTTATGGTTCAAAAAAAAAAAAAGATTGTTTTCTAAAATGGAAAACGTATATATGTTCAAACCTACAATAAAGAGTGCTGGCATATACTTTCACCTGACAGTGTGTTAAGTAGCTCAAATGTACCACCAGACATGATCTACCCCTAAAGAAATTACTCTAATATTATTAATTTTCTATTAAAAGCAAGAAGTCATTTATCGCTTTCTTTTACTAAATCTATCTTTAATGATCTAATTAGTGAAGTGTTAATTATGAAAAATGTTTAGAGACGGAAAAAGAAAGTAGTTTAGGCAAATACTCTTATGTAAAATCTATTGATTTAGTAGTATTAAATACATTTCTTAGGGAGCATAATTTTGACCATAGTAGATGACAAGCCCGCCAATGGAACAGCTGAGACGATGATATCGCTGACGAAAGGTTAAAAGTCATGGCATCACACAATAGACCAAAAGCAAACAGCATTAAACTTAACTGGCTGACTATTTTTCCAGATCATACAGTTCAAACACAATAAATACAAGATTTTTCTAGGTAGGCTGAGCATTGAGTCACTACATCGAACAAGAGGGCGGATGGAAGAGCTTCGACCCCAAACTCTGGTACGTGTAACTTTTGCATGCCATTTCTTAGGTAAGCAGCTTCTTATGTTTTCCAGGTTTTCAAAGAATTTACAAGGTTACTAAGCCTGCAAAAATCAACAATGTAGACAATCAAAGAAATGCACATTTTCCAGTATTTATCACATATCTTGTTTAAGTTGTAACATAAAAAAGCTTTTCCGGCAGTACACTAACCAGTTCAATTCCCAACCCCAAAACTCTTTTGATAGATTTTCCATTATCCATTTCACCCCCTCATCCAGAAGACTAGGACGACCAAGAAATGCCTGACCTAGTTCTGGCTTAAAAACGGAACTTCATGAGACGTAAAAGAAGTCGTAGGGATAAAAGTAGAACTGAGAGTAAATGACCAAAACTAGAATTGGAAATAGGTCCCCC